TCTACCAAATTGGTTCTTGTTCTGTTTTTTGATAGAAGAACACTTTCCAAAAACTGAACCAAACATAGCCTAAAATTAAGAATAGACTCATGATGTATCACATCATGTATCAGTTGATTCCACCTTATTTCAGTAAGGTGGTGCATCATGAGCTCAATCCCAAAATTTGGTGAAATGACTCTATTTCTTATACTGGTATTAATTATTAACTCATTCTATTTTACAAACCAAAACAAAAAGGTAAGAAGTGTGAAAATAATAACCTAACTCATTTTTCAAATTGAACACACTAAACCAAGAACTCCATATGACATATTCCCTCGGTCCCAAAATAAATGCACATCTCGCTTATCAAAGAGTCAAAATGTTTTTAAATTCGACTAAGTATATACAAGATAATATTAATATTTGTATCTCTAACTAGGTTTACTATAAATTATATTCTACTGATACTTATTACACATTATAAATATTAGTATTTTTTATGTATATGTATTTGGTCTAGATGTGGTCCAATGGATGTTGTAGGACTAAAATAAGGGCGTGGCTAGCGCCGGATGTCTAGACGGACGCGCAGCCCGCCCCCGTCCGCCTTCGCCCCGACCCCATCTGCCTTCGCCCCGCCCCACGCACGCACTTCGCCTCTTCTCTACGCCCGCCGGTTGCCCTCACCCCCTCCTCTCTCTCCGCACGAGCAGCACTCAGGAGCGGGGATGAGCAGCTAAGGAGGAGCACGCCCCTAGTGCGCCCCGATCGCAGCACCATCGACCGCTCGCCCCCGGTCGTACAACACAAAACACTTGCAACATGAAAAACATTTGAATGCAACATACGTCTGAAAGTAGATGAAATATTTGGAACATGCACTTGCAACATGTGTGTGAAACGCACGAAACATCTAGATTTGCAACTTGCAACATGAAACCACTTGCTGCAACATAAGACTGAAACAGCTGAAATATTTGGAACATATTGTTGCAACATATGTGTGAAACACATGCAACATCTAGATAAAAAATTACAACATACGTCTAGAAACGGATGAAACATTATGAACAAATGCTTGCAACATGCCTCTGAAACACTTGCAACATAAGCAACATCTCCCGATCTACTTTTGCAACATCAAGATGAAATAATTGCAACATACGTCTGAAACATCTGAAACACTTGAAACATATATATGCAACATAGGGGAGGAAGACTGGGCCAGTCGATTTCGTTCGTGGAGGTAGGAGTCGGCGGCGAGCCACGACGCGCGAGGACCACCAGCATCGGCCACACTCGTGGGTGCCCTTGGTTTGGCCGGGAAAGACCTGAGGTGCCACGACTCATGTGCCCCAGCGGCCATGGCGGGGTAGCGGCGCGCCCAACGGCAATGGGTGACGAACGGACCGTGAGGGAGTGAGCGACGCAGGTGACTACCATGCAGGTGAGTGGCGCGGCCGACGATGGGGGGAAGGGCACGACGCGGCAACCCCACGAGCGTGCGCTGGGGAAGGGGGCAGACGGATGAGCAGCCGCGCCGAGCAATGCAGGTGGCTGCCACGTAGGTGAGCGGCGCAGGGAGCGAGGGCGCGCGGCACGGCCGGTGACGGGGAAAGGAAATGGCGCGGCAGCCCGACGAGCAAGCGCTTGAGAAGGGGGCGGACGGATAAGCATGAAGGAGTGTGGGTGGGCTCAGGAGGAACGGGTAGATAAACACGAGGGGATGGAGATTTGTTTTTTTGGCCCGCTCTTGGGGAGCCACGTCTAGACGCATAGTCACGGATGGACGCTCTACAGGCGCTAATGTCTAGAGCACAGGGGACGTACAACTTGTTGGGTCAAAACAGCTTTATTTGTCGAGTCAGATTGCTCTGGTTTGGCAACCCATAATCAGATTTAGTTTGGACTTATAATAATATGTAATAATGTGCTGCTATGACTCGGATGAAAATGGGCTGAGCCGGCTCCGAACTTTGACTCAACTTCCTAGTACAAAGATTAATTTTAGAGGTCATGAGTCAATCTATTTCACTAAAGATTATGGCATTATTGGTCAATACATCTAGTGGGTAGTATCTATTGACCTGAATATATATATTTTTCTATCATAGGCCATGAATACTGTAACACTTATAAAAAAGATATAAGATTAAGAAGAATCATGATGACACATTTGAGCAATGCATCAAAATAAGTAAGTTACAATTTAATTTTATCTAAATTTCACTTTTAAAAAATGATATTTCTCAAAGAACAGAGTACTTAAGAGTTATGACCAACTGTGCTTATGTGAAAGAAATGAAGACCAAAAAGTTAAAGAAAAAGATTATTAATGTTGATGAGTGTTGATCCATATTATCCAATGAGTCACCACGTTTTGATACTGTGTTTAGACTTTGAGACTGACTTTATGAATCAATGACCTTACTTTTGTGGGTCATGTTAACTATCGGTTGATTGGACCCATTTCCATGGTAAACTAACTAGATGATACCCCGCGCGTTGCTGCGAGATTTTGTTGTGTGTATGTAAGAAGAATTTTTAGAGGGATGATAGTGTGTTTATATGGGATTTGAAGAAATTTTAGATAAAAAAATAGATAATAGTGTGAAAACGGCAAAGAGTAACACCATTTTACTAATACATCTTTTAAAGAACCATTATACAAACTTATTGACTTTGATAAAAAAAAATAGAACATGATAAAATAAAAGAGTAGACATTAATTCGGGTTTGTGGCTTTCTTGTACCAGCATCAACTGCTGGAGCAAAACTTAGAAAATAGCGTAGGATTACAGTCCACATGGAGAACGCACAGGAGTAGTTTCAAAATCTGCTGTCAAAACTTCATTTGAAGGATTAGTTTTTTTTTTTGGAGAAGTTTCAAGGATTAGATAGTAATAGAGGCCTGTCAAGTCTAGTAAAAAAGTATTCACCTGACATGGCAGAGAACTCCATGGTCGTCGCCCGGATGCAGTGAAGCCGTCCGGTGGAGCTGCCGCCTTCCCAGATCAGCTAGGTTGGCACCTGGACATCCCTGCTGAATGTAGTACATTGCCTTGCCTGTGATGATTCACGGTGACACAGGAAGATAGTAGCGGAGGTTTGGTGCAGCCTCTAGGCTTCAACAGTGGCATCATAGAATGCACAACTCAAACATACTACTCCCTCTGTGTACAGCCATCCTAGGATTTGGAAAATGTCAAAAATAACATCATCTTATATTATATAGGATTATATAGGTACAGCTTTTAGCCAGGAACTGGGGCCCGCTTGATAAAAAAAAAATTCAGCAAACCACATTCGCCACTCAGGGTCCGTCGCGTCCACAAAATCAATCGCGAACTTTGGCACCACGACCGCCCCTCCCGGGCTCCCCATTCGCAGCTCGCAGTCTAGATCCGCGCAACCCTCACCTGCCCCCACGCTGCCGTGTGCCGTGCCGCCAAGCCTCCAGTGGCGCATCCTCGTCTCTTCCCCACGCACCTTGACGCCTTCCCTTCTGAGCGCACACCTGCGCCTGCGCTGACATCTCCGATACGTCCGGGAGCAGGATCCACCTTCCATGTCATGGTCTGATAGTGGGAAGCAGATCGGATGGTAGCAGGAAATTAAAGCGGAAGAGGGAGAGGCACGGCAGTTCCTTCCTGCGTTCATGCGGCCGTGCGGGGGAGGGTCACGATAAGGTTGACCGATGGTATTATGCTGGTGTGGGACAATGAAGCCAGGAAAATATGCTAATAAATGGTTCCTAATACTGGTGCCGTCCGGCACAACTCCACCTCACTAAGCTATTTTATATGGCTTCAGCTCCATGAGCAACTCTATTTATAGATGTTAATTATAAGATTAAAAAGGCCACTCCGATAGCTTTGGCCTCCCCGATGTCTCCTTCGTCGCCACTCCCTCCGCTCGAGCTTTATTTGCCCTCCCACTACCGTCCATCCCAGCGCCGTCCCTCAGCACCCCTGCATGTGTGCGGTTCCCGGGGATTGAATGTAATAAATACTTATGATACTAGCCATTTCGGCTAGCCTTCATCAGTTTACTCTGTTGCCCATAAATCCCAGATGTTCTAATTAATGGTATATTAGTATAACGATCCTAGCCGTTGCCGACGTGAGAAGACAGGGAGAGTCGGAGGTTGGACAAGAATTAGAGTCGGTTTGGTTCAGCCATGAAGTGTGAAAAAAACTGCTATGAGATATGTGAACTGTAAGTTGTTTGACCAAAACAACTATAAAATATACTATATCTCTTTATTTCCCTTCAAACAAATGTAAAATGTCTCTTTATTTCTACCCATTTACAAAAGTATAAAGCTGAAAGCCAAAAGTAAGGTCTAAGGTGTTACGAAAATTGTATTACGCAAAAGTAGCAGCTTCTACTCTTCTAGAAAGGAACTTTAGGATCCACCCATTTGGCCAGCTTTTAGAATTTTTTACAGCAGAATCACTTCAAAAGCTGAACTAAGCACAACCTTAGGCCTTGTTTATTTGAGCTTTTGACTACTTTTATATTACTAGCCAGCCAAAAGCCATAAGCTCACTCTCTGTTTGTTTAGGTTTTTGGCTTATGAGAGTGAGCTTCTATTTGGCTTTCCAAGCTTTTTGACTTTTGAAAGGGTTCAAAAGCTTGAAGCTCAAACAAACACGGCCTTAGTCTGTCATGTCCCTTTCCTCTATCTTGAGTTCTCTCTATTATTTAACAATTATATTCCACAGGCCAGTAGGCAAGCCCAAGTTCATGGGTCACAGCCCAGTACACTTCCGTAGCCCAGCATCCAAAGCCTAGCCTTTTTTTTTTTTGTGAACATAAGCCTAGCCTTAGTAGTGCTCGAGTTTCACAAGTAGCGTGGCAATTAGGTCAATCGCGAATTATTCAGTATGAGATATGCGACGCTTGTTACATTTCTTAGTTACACAAATGGATTCCTTGCAAGAGATTATTCTCGCAACTGAATCGCTCAGCTATGCTGGGGTACGTGGATCATGCCTGGCAAGGCAAACCGGTCATGCCTGGCAGAAGTAGTCGAAGGGCATTTTGGGCGTGGAGAATTGGCCGGAGAGGATCTTTGCAGCCACGACGGCGTTTGCAGCGTCGGTATAGTGCACGCCGTCCCAGCTGACGAACTTGGTGCCGTCCTCGCACACCCGGAAGCCCGGGCCGAGGCAGCTCACGTTGGCGTTGTAGTTGTAGGGCGGCCCGCCGTAGCCGCAGCACGCCATGAGCGGCTCCTCGAACCCTGAAACAAACTGTGATGAGGAGCTGGCATCGATCGCGAAGCCTGACGACATGGATGCATGCATGGTGCTGGTCAGTCGATCGCTCACCGTAGGCGGTGTGGTTGGCGATGAGGTCGTACTTGATGAGCAAGACGTCGGTGTAGACGATGGTGGCGCCACGCAGCTGCGACCTCAGGCCGTCGCAGGCGGCGCACAGCTGGGCGTTAAACTCGTAGGCGCCGTCGTTGAGGGTCTTGAGACAGCCGCTGTAGTCGAGGTCGGTGTCGTCGGGCCTCGGCGCGGCGAGCTTCTGCGGCAGGCAGCCCAGAGGGCCGGTGCCGTGGACCCAGAAGTTCTTGGCACCGTTGTAGTAGAGGGTCATGACAGCATCCTTTATCTCTGACACTATGGCCGGGATCCTCTGGTGGACGACGTCGTCGTATGGCGCTCCGCTCCCGAAGGCGGCGGACAGGTCATTCTGGCCGATGTCGATGACGTAGAGCGCGTTCCGGAAGCCGTCGGCGTCGACGGGAGCGGCCCCGCCGCCATGGGCGATGAGGTCGAGCGAGCGCTGCTTCAGGTGGAGGAACTGCTGGACCTGGACGTGGAGCGCGAAGGGGACGTTCCGGGGGAGCGCGGAGGAGCCCGAGATGGCGAAGTTGGCGCCGCCGGTGAAGTCGGAGCCCACGGCCTCCAGGTACGGGCTCAGGTAGCTCATGTTCAGGCTCTCACCTGTTTTGCATGCATTCCATGGGTTGAATCTAACATTAGTAATTGTAATTGGGGAGATCGACACGCACAGGCATAGTGAGGCGCCGGCAAAGTGGCAATCGACTCGAGTACTGCACGGCAACTTGGGCAGGAACCAACACGGTGCCGGATTCTTCAGTCAGGGTCAGGGGAGAAGAAAGGACGCAGCTCAATAATGCTGCTGACACCAGACGGCTGTTACAAGCGTCTTGGGTTGCAGAGTGCAGCCGTCACGTCTCTTCACTGTTTACATAGTACTCAAACTGAACAGAAAACTAAGAGCGATGGACGACTCAACAGAAACAGGGAGAGGCATCACGAGAGAGAGGCAGAGCAAACTCCCCGCGTACAACACAAGTCGATAGATATCCACAGGAAACGAACTACCGCTGCGTAGCGTCAACTAGCAACTGGTGGCGCCTCTCGAAGCATGTAGTACATACTGCTAATATGTCAGTAGAAAACTAAAGAAGGAAGAAGCCTATATCTATATGTCGCTCAGGACGACTGGACGGATTCTCCGGCTCTGAGCTTTTTGTGGATTGAAACTCATGGTTGGTGCGTGTTCCCATTGTCTTTTCTTGAGATGGTCGGGCCGTGCACGCGCGCTGCTTGTCATTTACAAAGATCTTGCGACTACTAAAGCATGTGTACGTCACCATCAATTGCCACCACCACCACCATTCCACCAACAAAGCTCCCCCGGTCGAGCTGCTTCGTTCAGCGCACTGATGAAATCCATCACTACGCCAACAGCATATCATCTCTCGAAGTCTCCATCGATGGCGTAAGCCCAAATATGTAAACGAGGTCGCGAGGCACCGAACATGTGATGTGATGCTGTGCCTGTGAGTAGTGACGAACGGACGATACGTACATGCGGAAGGAGGAGCACCTAGCAGCTAGCACGGGCGGCCGGCTGGAGTAGCTAGCTAGCAGGCACGGAAGGGCAAGCGGGTGACTCACAGAGGTAGTCGATGACGAGGCGGCCGTCGCAGAGGCGTCCGGTGGATCGGCGGAAGAAGACGCGGCCCTCGGGGAGCGGGTAGTAGTACCCCAGCCCGGCCGCGACGCCGCCCGTGTCCGTGTTCGAGTCCCCGAACGCGAACACCACGGGCCGCCTCGCGCACGCCGCAGCTGGCGCTGGGTCATCCTGCTGTCCGGACACCGTCGACGCCGCCGCCGCAAGGACGACGACAGCGACCGTCATGAGCACGGCCACAACAGGCGGCGCACCACCATCGACTCGGGCACCACCGCCGGGAGCCATGGCCGTGTCCCTGCTGTGCAGTTAAGGACACTGCTGGACGTACACAGGCACGATCGCTATATAATAGAGAAAATCCAACTCGGAGGCCGGGGCAGGAGTCTGTGTCGTGTGTTTATATAGCTAGCCGTGTAGTGGCTAAGCAAGTGGGCGTGGTCCGGCCGGTGCACGCGCAGCGCAGGCGCAGTGCCATGCCCCAGCTGAGTGTGAGACGCACCACCACATCTCGGTCATGTTTCATGTACGTCAGTATGTGCCATGACAATATGACATGCATGCAACGAACTGGCCATCACGGATCACGGGCCGTGTGTTCTGATTCCAAAATCCATGCAACATGCATGCATGTAGTGCTCCATCACGATGCATGGTACTAGCTAGTGATCAGTAGTAGCTATAGGAGCGAAAAAAGAAGGATGGTACTCCCATCGTATTTAAAAATAGAGTCGTTTTGACAGCGACGTAGTCTCTAAAATATAAATATAATTTTGACTTCTTATTTTTATAAAAAATATTTATCGAAAAAGTGATATTATAGGTATATTTTATGAAAGTATTTTTCAAGATAAATCTATTCATATAGTTTTCACATTTCCAAACTTAATAACTTAAAAGTTATTGATAATTTAGATTTTCAATGTGATGACCTAAACCTTGTCTAAAAACGACTTTATTTTTTAGCGGAGGGAGTACCGACAGCATGTATATCTAAGGGGCCGGTGTACAGTGTACAGTGTATTGCTTTTGTGGGCGCGTCATCATCAACCAACAGATAAAACGTAGGATCTAGAGTGGTTCACGAGTGCCGCAGACCGCAGTTTGAGATACTCATATTAGTAGTACGGTAGCGTGTTGTTAGTACGGTACCGCCTAGCTAGCATGGTAGTTTTGTAATGAAATTGACATTAATTGCAAAGTGATAAGTATAATTGTATTTGTTCATGTTCAAGTGTTGAAATTGTGTTGATTAACTGAGATTGATGCAAAAAAAACTTGCAAGTGGTCTAGTGGTAGTGGGGTGTTGCTGTTCTCTTGGGGAGTGAGATGCAGGTTCAAATCTTGGTGGTTGCCCTATTTTTTCTTCTTCAAAAAAAAACTGAGATTGATGCAATACACTCATGGGAGTGGTGTTGCATACGCTCATGCTGAATCAAATAGTAGACTTGTGCTTCTACATGGTTGGTTGGTAACGTGTAGGCGTTGCTTGAAGCGGAACGTGGTCCGCAGGGGCGAAGCCACGTATCCATTAGTGGGTGCAAATGTACCCACAACAAAAACGAAATTTAGCACTAACCATCTCATATTCACCATGTGTGCACCCCCCTCAATCAAGGTTCATGCACCCCCCACGAGCCAACATGGTAGCATGAAAGCTTGAGTCGAACAATGCCAAACAAGTAATTATTGCTTGTTTGCAGATTATCTCTATCATAGGAATAGATATAAACCAGTGATCAGATTTGTATTGTGGAGATTTTTTTTCATTTGAGGTACAGATAGACTCGATACCAAGTACACAAAAGAATAGTGAGGTTTATTCAGATCGGCTAAGACTAATTATTAACCGAGCTAAGAAGCTAGCTAAAAAATTAGCCATCTAACTATTAGCCAGTGCATGTTTGTATCCTTCGCTAATGGGCTAACAACTAGTCAAGGCTTGTTAAAAATAGCCCTACTATTTGGATGAACTAGAGCAAAATTTTAGCTAGAAGTTGTTAGCCACTTAACCTATAGAATCCAAACAGACCCTAAGTAGAGATTCATTTTTCAATATTTCATAATTATTAGGAGCTCCGATTATATTATAGCCTTGATTTGTCAAACTATTAAGTTCAATAAAAGTTTATTTTAAATGGGTTGGTCATGGTAATATGCCATTTGGATCACTGATGCCATTTGATTATGTGGCAAATAATCGTCAACATCTAATTTTCTATACACAAACTTTACACACATTTCAAGGAATGTCACACTTGGGTCAAACTTTGAAAAAAAAGTTAAAATGTTCGAATGACTCCTGAACTTGTCAAGAGATGTCATTCAAGATCATGAACTTTGAAAAACACATTTTCTAAATCCCTAAACTTGTTAAGTGATGCACCGCAGTGGTCGAATAGTACAGAAATGGACCTACGATGCACCATTTTACAAGTTTAGGAATGTGCATTGCACCATTTGAACCTATGTAGCAGCTCTTGACAATTCAAAGAAGGTTGATGCATTTGACTCTTAAAAAATCGAATTTTATCATGTAAATATGTGCATGTCAAGGTTATGTAGTACCAAAGTAATGCACCCCCCTCGTTTCGGCTCTAGCTTCGCCACTGGTGGTCCGTGATGGATTAAAATTAGGTCCAACTGAGGTTTTAGGACTAAGTTTAAGAAGGAATTGATGTCTTATATTGGTCAAGGATGTTATGTGAGACGTTCGGGAAAGAGAACGGTGCATGTGGGGACTAGCTTGTTGATGCACAGATTCATTTGTAACTCGGTGTCAGCTAAAATGGAAACTGCATGGAGGCCTAGGAAAAAAAATCATACTGGAAAATTTAGCACTTCAGATGGAGATGTACCAAAATTTTTGTACTGAGGCTGCAGATGTGATGTACAAAAAAATTCATGCTGTAGATGGTGATCATGAAGGATCGTACTGCATATGTGATGCACCAAAAATTTTGTACTATTGATAGAAATATAATGTACCAAAAAGTTCTTACCACATATAGTGATGTCCGAAGGATCGTGCTAATATATATACGAAAAATTTTGTACTGCAAATTTTGATATACTTTTTCTTTTTGAAAGGGTAAATTCTCATTATTCAAAGACAAGATTCGGAGATGTGGCAAAACGAGACCCATTGAAAGTTCTCTAAATTAGACTGGATAGTACTACAATTTCTAGAATGCACTAAAGATTCGCAAGAGAAACTGCAAGAGCTAGGAATCACAGCCTGTCTTGCCTTCTTTGCGAGATTGTCCGACACTTTGTACTATTGATGGTGATATATAAAGGATTTCTGTACGGAATTTTTGTGAAACTCTCAAAGTCTATAAAAGGATGGGAGCGAGGAGCTTCAACTCCCAGCTCCCATGTCCGTCGTTGCTTGGTTCCGAGGGAAACACACATTTGATATTCCTCGTATTATTGTCGTGTTACGGACTTAACCGACAGTGATAAGATATATCACTGCTAGGTTGTGGCTCAGAAAGTGAGAGAGCTTCACTGCTGAGTCAATAGGATTTAAATCATTGTTCGGGTCCCTTGGCTTATGACCCGGCAGCAAAGCGGGATCACTATCCGCTCCAACACATCCAAGAATTAATGATGGGACTTGCTAGCGCCTAGACATCCGATCCAGGGCGCTAGCATCGGACGGTGCTCTTGAACCCGCACCTGACGCACCCATCCCGCTCCAGAGGCCGTGCGGGCCCACACATGCGCGGGTCCACCCCAAGCCTGCTCCGATTCACATGGCATGCATGCAGTAGCAGAACCACCACCAGCAGGCGTGTGAGATGACTCATGGCGGCGCGGTGACCAACAACGGCGCACTAACAGCAGCAGCAGCATATGCTTCCCTGAGATCTACTTTTGTAACATCCAAATGAAATACTTGTAACACACGTCTGAAACACTTGAAACATGTGTGTATAGCCATAGCAACATATGCAACACCAGATCTACTTTTAAAACATCCAGATGCAACACTTGCAACATATAAAAGAAGACAGATGAAACACTGGAAAAAACACTTGAACCCATAGCAAAACATACGCAACATCCAGGTAAAACACTTGCAACATATGTGTGAAACATATGCAACATCCAATAAACACACTTGCGACATATGTCTGAAAAACAGATGAAACATTAGGAACAAACGTTTGCAACATACGTGTACAAACCATTGCAACAAATGCAACATCCCAATCTACTTTTGCAACATTTATATGAAATACTTACAACATACCTCTGAAACATTTGAAATATACGCTTGCAACATGCGCTTTTAGCGAGACATCTCTTTGCTGCTTGGGAGAAATCGAGGTTCGTCGGTGTGTGAAGTCCATCGGTCCAAAGCTCGCCGGTGGCGCAGAGCGACCAGCCGGGGGGCGCGATAGCCATCGAGCGCGACGGCCGGAGCGGAGCTGCCCTCCGTTTCTTTGAGCCTGGCGATGGAGCTTTGCGTTGTTGGTGGACCGGCCAAGGGACACCGCAACCTTGGATCGGACCAGACAAGGGGCAGCTGCGGATCGAACAAGGGGAGTGATGGGGCGGCGGCCGGAGCGGAGCCATCCTCTGTTTCTTCGAGCCTGGTGATGGAGCTTCACGTCGTCGGCAGACCGGCCAGGGGACATCATAGCCTTGGCGCGGACCGAGCAGGGGGTAGCTATGGACCGGCCAGGGGGAGCGCGATGGGGCGGCGACTGGCTATGGGGCACCGTGGATTACTGACTCCAGGGGGCGCTGGCGGGGCCGGCAGCTTGCGGAGAGGAACCCCACGGTTGCGGCGCTGTGGAGCGCAGTCGTGGTGGTGCACGATTTTGCGACTCTACAATGGAGAGCTTTCTGGAGAATGGAGCAACTTGATAAGGCTAGAGGAGAGTGGACAAGGGGATACACCAGTTGGGCTGGTGCCACGGCCCTCGAACGCAACGTCCGGGCGATCGGACATCCTGACCGGAGCATTACCGAAGAATGATAGGTCAGCAGGGATCATATGTTCTACAGTAGTGGCCATCACCAAATATCCAGACTGCCCCCCTGGCATAGATCCAGGTTACTCCCTATAGGTCTCACCCTTCCGAAATTCCAATGAAAATGCCCAATTTCCCATGTTCCATACCATCCTTCCGACGTTTAGAGCAAGTAAATAGCAGGTTGTAAGCTGGTTAAATGCTGAGGTGGAGGAGAGAGGAGAAGCGGGTTGTAAGCTTATGACAAGCTTAGGCACAAGAATCAAGAAACTTTGTGAGAGAGACAAGTGGGCCATATATTAA